CAAAGATTGATCTTTGATGTAATGAGCAAATCTTTGTTGTTGTCTATTAAGCCTTATCATGTTTTCCAAATGTCTTTACAAATGCTTCTAAAAAAGATTCAAAGTTGCTTAAGATTAGAGAGCTCTTCTAAAATAAAAGAACAAATCAAGATAAGGCTTGTTATGTGAGTAAGATTCTAATTAAACCAACTCTCAACTTCTTGTTGGATATCACTCATATTTTAGAAAAGATACCAATCAAATTTGATTAACAAATTCTTGAAACTTGAAGTATGTGCCATCAAATTTTTTTAAAAGACTAATCTAAGGCTTCTTATATTGATAAATAGGTGAATTTTTTTATTAAGATACAAGTTGCATTGCCATAAAATCTTGCAAAAAGTTCTTCAATTTCAGGAGTTTTGTAAGATAAAATATTCAAAATATTCATAATAACATGTAATTTGAACTTAGAAGACTCAATCATACTAACATCTTTACATACAACTATTCTAAAAGAAAAAAAAAAAAAAAAAAAAAAAAAAAAAAAGATTTTCGAAATAATATTAATTTAGAAGAGAACAATCTACAACCTCTAAAGCATTAAAATACCTTCAAGAAGAAAAATAATGCACTTTCTATCAAAAAAGATCAAGTTCTAGTATTGATAAGAGAGTGAGTCTTGTCAAACTATCACAAATATACTATACAAGAAACTAAATAAGAATTTCAACAAAAAAACTAACAAGAATTTGATTAAACAAGATGAGTACGTGATTAACATGAAGATAGGTAAGCTAGAGCTCCAAGAAATGTATTGTCGAGATTGAAGATCCTTTTAGCCTTGACTCTAATATATACTAGGTATTAAAAAGCTTCTTGAGAAGTTTGCATGTTGTTTGAAAATGAAGCAATAATAGGAAGCTTCTTAAGAAGTTTTCATGTTACTTGAAGAAAAAGCAATCTTAGGAAGCTTTTCAAATAACTTCTTTAATCGTCTTAAAACTTTCTAGAATTTGCTAGAATATTTTGAAAACCTTCTAAAACTTTTTAAGAATATTTTTAGAATCTTCTATTAGAATATTCTAAGAATCTTTTTAAAACCTCATATTAAAATATTTTAAAAATCTAATAGAATATTTTAAAAATATTTTAAAATCTTCTTGTTGAATATTTATAACAAGAAGACATATTTAGTCCAAAAGATTAAAAGAAATTTTCCAATCTAGTAGTAGAAATTCAAAAAGATTTCATATATAAGAAAAAACCACTGGTTTTGTTCTTATAAGCAATCTTCTTCTATAAGCTAGTTATTTTAAAATGGAATAATATCTATTGGACTAGCACAAAGGCTTTGAACCATGAAGACTATTAAAATCTCAAGAAAAATATAGTAGTAATGTTAACAAGGGTTAGAAGGCCAAGATTACATCTATACATAATTATAGAAAAGATGATGGATTTTCATAATGTCATGCAAGATGTAACAAATTTTAGAGGACAAGGGAAGAAAAGAGCTAAGTAGAAATATAGGCTATCTAAAGAACCTACATAAAAGGCTCTATCTTACCTCACTCTTCTATATTAATTGTTCTTTCTTCTTTCTCTCCAATCAATCTAAATATTTGTCTTTTATTATCTCAAGAAGAAAGATACATCTTCAATTTAAAAGCAAGAAAAATAAATGCTTTGAAAACCTCAATAAAGACCTACAAGGTGGAAAATATGTAAAATTCATGCAACCAAAGACATAACTCCAATTCTTCTAAAAGAAAAAACATAGTAGGCATAAGTAGCCATAAAGAAAAAGAACCATATTGCCAATCAATTTACAATTCCAAGCTCTCATGGTAGGATTAATTTGGACTAAAGAGACAAAAAAAAACTTCTAAAATCACCTAAAAAACTACTAGAAAATCTTTCAAGTTCTAAAAATCTAAACCTTTTTATAAGTTGAAATATTATCTTATATAATGAAAGAAATATAAATGAATTACTAAGGTCTTTAAGCTAACAAATTATATCTTTAGCTTCTAACCAAAACATGACATTGTATTTATTTAACAAGCTAAGCTTTATAAAATAAAATTAAAAATTCAGATCTTTGAAGATCTTTTAGCATAAATTTGGTTTTATATTTTAGAGGCAATACCAAGTTATATAAGAAACTCCAATAAATTAGGAATAAAAAAATTATGTATACTAATATCATATTTTTATAAAGCATTTAGTATATAATATGAGGTTCTTATTACATAATAGATTTCTAGCAATCATGTTTAAAGGTCTTTATGGAAAAAAATTAGACATTGGAAATATATGAATTTCAAATAAATATAGAAAATATAGCTAATTTTAAAAATATATAGTTATTTATCATTAAAATAATATATTTTAAATTATTAGAAGAAATAGAACATAATAAATCATAAAAAAATAATTTATTAAATTTTGAAAGGATATTTGCGAGAGATGAAGAAATGGTGTAAATTTCTTTAAAATAAGAATGCAAGTACAAAATATTTTATTCTAGAAAAATACCTCAAGGTCTTTTGGAGCAAAAAAAGATACAAGAAAAAAATATTAGTTGTAATGGACAAATTTAAATTTAATAAGAATTACTTCTTTTCTATAAGATCGTCTCATGTTGCATTAGAAGAGATGTAGGTCCATCTAACAGCCTTCCAACATAACTATTAATCCAATTAGAAAAAATTTGCTAAACAAATTCTCTTATATGATGAATTAAAGCTTTTTAAAAGACCTTGAGGTTAAAAATCAAGTCCTAAAGATTTGATTACATGCAATAAGATAATTAAGATAATTTATAATATTTTATAAAAGCTATTGCAAAAAAAAAAAATCATAATGAATAAATAAATAAATAAATAAAAATAAAAGACAAACTAGGATAAATCTAATTAAAACTCCGAAAAAAACCTCTAAATCCTAAGCTTTAATAAGAGCTTAATAGTAAAATAAAGAAATATTCCTTCTTAATTTAGATTTGTTAAAGCATTAAATAAGATATTATAGATTTTTATTTTTTTCATAACTATAAAAAATTCAGATTTTTTGAAAAAACTCATTACTATGTTTAATGATTTTTTAGTTATAAGAACTAATGCATAAGTGAATGTAAATAAAAATCAATGAAAGAGCATTGAAATCCAAAGAGATATGTAGCAAGATTGTCTAATTGCTCTTTATTTCTTTTTTCTAATTTGAAAAGTTCTAAACATAAAAATTTACATTAGACTTTGACTAATTTATCATCAATAGATTATTGAAAAAAACTTAATTATTGGTCTTCATTTAGACTTAACATAGAAAGAAGAACCATCTTGGCAAAAAATGTGCTCCTCTTAACTTTATATTTTTTCACCTCTATTTGAAAAAACTCCATCAAAACCATATCTAAACTCAAGGCTATAGTTAAAAATTTGGATAGAGTAGCTTAGAATGCGTAATATAGCATGATTGTTTCAAAAAAAGAACTTAGAACTATTTGATTTAGAAGAAGTAATGATTGTATTATAATATAAATGAGTGGTGAAAGTCCTACATCTAGGTTATTCTAATATACAATACCTTATTAGAGACAAACTAATAAAAGTTTTTTTTTACATGCTTGAACTAGTGGTGGTCAAATTTTCAATAGATATTAGTACCTAATCACAAATAGATTCCATAATTTAAAAAACTGGTCAAGAATTGGAAGAGCTTGGATCCAAATAATTCTCAATTAACATTTAGAGCACTTAGAATCATTCTATGGCATTTAAAACAAATCCCTATTGTAAGATCTTGATGTATCAATCATTGGCTAAATTATTCAACTTCAAAGATCAATTTCTCTTTTTAGAAAAGAAATACAATAGATTACGAACATATATCACTAAAATGTAATTTTTTTTGCTAAAAAAAAAAAAAAAAAAAAAAAAAAAAAAAATTGATCTTTAACAAAAAATTATATTGATTACAGAATAAAATATGATTTATTCTGTAATCATATCTTTGATTTCTATTAATATTAATATTAATATTTTATTATAGATTTTTTTAATGAAAAATAAAAATATTTAATTGAGTTTTATAAATTTAAAGTTGATCCTACTTCAATAGCAAGCTTTTAATTTTAGAACAATATTTATAGAATTGAAGAAGATGGTTGATTTACAAATTCTATAGCTTTTCTATTTTCAATCTATCAAATAAAGATTGAGTTAACAACTTTAAATGTAAACAAAGATTTATCATCAACATTAGTTCCAAGAAGACAACTTACATGTCATAATCCAAATAATAAGATTATAATCTTTGCCAAAGTATTGGTATAATTCAAAGTACAAAGCCAAAGAATAAAGAATTAACACTCCAAGGTTCTATTGTGGCTTTGTAGCCAAAACTCTTTTTTGAGCTTTTATTATACTATAGAGACTTAGATCCAAAAATATTGACATGCTTTGCAAAAATTAATAGACATTTCTTCAAAAAATCACAATTACAATACAACCTCTCAACTTTCAAGTAACACAATCTACTTGAGCTTGATTATTGTTTTGATTGGATAGACACTTGGATCCACCTTAGTGCTAAAAAGAAAGCAATGTTAGTATGAATCATTTGGCACAAAAGAGTGGCAATCCATGAAAAATCACATTTTATTCTTGCATACATGCAAGATCTTGGATTAGTTGGATACATAATTCAAAATATTTTAAGGTTTGAAACATTAACATCAAAATACTCAAACTTTACAAAATCGTTATTAAGCAAAAGTACAATCAATAGTGACACTTTCTATAATTCGAATTTCCGATTTCTAAGTTGGTATGTTTCATGCTTACTCATATTCCACAACGTTTTCAGCCCATCATTTGACTATTCTGAAATGCTTTATTCATACATCTAAATTTATTGGCTTGTTTGTTCACATTTTATTCTTGCATTGGAATCCAGGAAAATGAGAGAGATGTTTGACATTCACAAACACAAACCTCCATGTACCTTACTAGGAGTGACAATGAAAATTACTTCACTAAAAGCTCGAATGGAAGAAAGTGGATTAATCCAGATTTTGAACACTAAATCCTAACCATGTCTCTTCACCAACTACTGCCACAAATTACTCTACTCATTTCGGCAAAAGGCAGACGTACTGAACTAACTACTTGGGTTCCAGGCCTCACTAAATATAAGCTAGTACCACTTGAGTGGAATCAAGAGAATCGAAAAAATACTCCACCGGGGAGTGTCGAAAACACTGATTCTGACGATCACTGATGCTAAGAGGGATTGATAAGCAACCATGCCATCGACACCACCCAACCATTTACTCACAAGCTGCGACCTTACAAGATGAACATTCCTGAATATCCGTGGCCAATTTTGAGCTATACTAAGTATTGTGACAAGTGACATTGCAGAGGATCATTTGATTAAGTTGTAAGATCTCCACCTCTAGAGAGGGTAGGGGACAAGGAAACTATCAATTACCCCTCTGGATCAACACGGCTGAATTGAATGTGAGCTGTCTGCTATATCTGGTTCCCGACCCAAAGTAATTCTGTCTGGTAAAGACCGTTGAACACATTCATTGTATGTATTTTCCTCACAAGTTGCAGCATTTCCCATCGTCATGAGCAAGTACCTTGTCCCACAGACACAGCATTTGACGCGGCGATTGGTAATGAGCTGTCAAGTATTTCGGTATACAACCGGCTTGAGCAAACCGTATGCTATGTTCGTATTGAACGTGCTTCACTTGCTTCGCATATTCGCGTACCCATATTCCAACACTGACGTCCTCCATCTTAAATAACTGCACATGATCATAGAAGAATATTGAGTTCACATTTCATATCTTCTCATGTTCACAATGCAAGATCATGAGGAGATATCGACAACAGAGATATTTTAAGCAAAAGAAAATTGAAAAATGCATTTAACAAACGATGCACACACACAGAATGTACCGACTCCTATTACGAACTTGCGGTGCAAAAAGATTCCTGGATGGAAATTTGCCAACAAGAAAGTTTCTAATTTTTAAAACTTGTAGACGTGTAATAGCGACGACACAGTTCTAAAAGAACCTACCTGCAAACTGCCTCTCTCATTCATCTCCACAATGAAATGCACAATATCCTCTGACAGGATATATCCTGGTCCATTAGCATATATTGGGTAAATTCGCTCAGGCCATTCCTGTCCAAGCAACCCACTTGTCAATTCGCGAGATAATCCTCTTGTTTCATCACCATCAATCTAACTAGACGTACAAGTCAAACTGAATTAATCTTCCTGAAAAGCACATGTTTCATTTTTATACATAAGGACGAACACATCTAGTATCCAAATTGAGTGGTATGGCTACCACAGATTTCTCAAGAGCATCAAATAAATCCTTGCAATAAAAAACAACATCGTGATTATATTCATCTTGGTTTCTCTCACGTTCCCGACAAAAGCCAAAAATAAAAATAAAAATACCTCGGCAGTCACGGCCCACTTTCCAGAACGAAGAGGCCTGTGAAACTCATTCATGCTACCCATGTAAAGGCCTTGTGATATTGAAGTAGTTCGAATCTCTTCGAGAACGCTATCAATCCTCACAAAAGTGTCATCGTCACACTTCATAATATACTTAGCTGTGACATTCTGGACCTGCACAGTAAGCAGAACCTAGTGTTAAAAGTCACCTAACCTTCAGTTGGTATCAAGCCTCATTATCACCATCCCCAAATTGCAGACACCGTCACAAAGCTTTGAAGCCATTATTCGACACACGTACCCCAAACTTGCAAATTTCAACGGTCTTGAGAACCACTATATCATATCTGTCGATGAAAGGCAGGATTATAATATCGCCATAATAGTCTGCCTCCTTCTTCAACTGCATATTGATATCCTTGTTTGCATGCTACATCACAATTCAATAAGACATTCACCGAAAAAGTTAAATACGCAACGCAACACACAAATTATGTTTCCACTGTTCTAAATGAATTTGGAAAGTCATTACGCAAAGGCACGCAACAGCCACCTTTCAGCAATCAACAGACCACTTATGTAGATGATCACTAATAATTCGAAAGTTAATGAGATTTGATAGGAGGAAGTACCAGAGCTACAAAGAAGCGAGCCACGGCCTGCGAAGATTGAATAGCTTTAGATTGAAACCACGTCTTCCTTACTGCCATCCGTTCTGCAAAATGGTTACTGCTGGACATGATCCCAATAAATAAATCTATCTTGGTAGCTGGGACAGGTGGTGCCTTCCAAATGTCCCCCGATTCCAAAACTAACTCAGGGTAGTAGCTAGGATGTGTTAAGGGTAGGGATGTCACTGTGATAGACATCACATCAACGTCTCCTGCTACTAATATCCCCGTTGTTTCTTCCACAGCGTAACCCTGCACAATGGAAGATAAATAGCAGTTCTCAAAACAAAACACTACAGAAAAGAGTTGTTAATGAATCGATTTGCACAGATTTTAAGACTAACTAGACACACATCACAACGATACCCTTAAACTAATGCCCTAACGAACCTCAATCATGGTACACTTATAGAGGAAGCAGGGGTGATTTGAAAGACCTAATCGGGTTTCCCAAGGAAATAGCAGGATGTAGCTTCTGCTAAGAGAAATTACTCTTCATATCATATAAGTAGAGTGCAATTAGATAATGTTCGATCTAATCACCTAATCGTTTTGACGAAATCTTATACTAAATACGGGAAAAAAACTTTAAAGTTAAAAACATTAATATGTTATTTATTTATCAATTCGTTGCTTTAAAAATAATTAAAAACTTAAAATAATAAAGAAGAATAATAAGAAATTGAAGAAGACTTCGATAAATCGCATGGGCGTAAAAAGAAAAACAGTGAATACAACTAGTTTCTTGGTTATAATTAATTCTTCAGACTTACCCAGACGTAGTCTGGTATAGGTAATGTTCCTGGTGTCTGAAGGATGGGGCCGTCATTATTGTTATTCCATTGTTGATAATGTAATTCAGAAACACGAGGGATAGAAATTTTGAATAAATCTTCGACATGAAGCAAATACAAATGAACTTTCGTAGTACCAAAATGTTGCTATATTATTAATTTTAGTAGAGGAGGAGAGGGATCAAAAAATACAAATTAAAAAGATGTGTATTTGTATTGTTATATTTGAAATGAATAATTTAACTGGTATACTAAAATTTTAGAGTTGATTTGCATTACCCCCCCCCCCTCCAGAAAATAAAAAAGAAAAAAAGAAAAAAGAAAGACATGAGGTCAACTTTAGCATTATATGTTAACATAGCATTTTCAACTTACCACACGATAAGGAAACGAGCTGATGTGACGACCATCGATAGTCACATGAAACCCTTCAACACCTGCTCGAATGGTGAGAACGAACTCCCGACCCTCAGATAATGGGTACTCCCATTCAAGCGTCTCCTTGTCAGAACGACCAACTAATCTTCCAAGCCACCAAGATTTTTGCGTTGAAGCAGGTTTCTTGCCATCATCTCGAAGCCACTTCTCGCACTTGGGAAGACCGTCAACTACAAGAAAACGAATCATTTCAGAAAATACACATCCAGTGTTGGAATTTATTGCTCATGCAGACATTTACCAACTTACAATGAGAGAAGTGGCAAGTGCCAATTCGAAGTACCACGGAACCTACACAGCTCTTAACGTCTACAAACCTGAGAAGCATAGTGTCAGCATAAAAAACACAAACTGGTGCGGTGGAATCAGCACTCACCAGTTTCTTCGTATTCAGGCACTTGCCAACCCTCGCATCGGTGGGCAGGACCCCACTGGTTCCGATAACAAGTGTTGTGCTCAATGATGGGTTTCCAGCTCCAATCACCACGAAGTCGAGGATTCAAGTGTAGAATTCGAGGAGGATCTTCACCTTTCACCACCTTTAAGCCTTGTAACTCTACTAAGAACTGGGAAACCATGACATATGGAGAGACGCCTTCCCCAACTCTGGCGATTGGCGGTTTGTACTCCATGTGAGCCTCTCGAGGCTTTCCAATCAGAGTAATGGCTGACCCAAACATTAGACCACAGGGCAAGGGGAAGACTTTACCCAATTCGTCTAACTTTTTCCCTGCTGCAGAGAGTGATGCTGGACACGGATCAGCATTTGCAGTGGCATTACTGACATTCTTTGAGACACCTTCTCCATTTCTTAACGCAGTTTCCAGTTCTTCCCACGCTTTGGCACCAGCAGACCAGGCACGATCTATCACATCATCCAGAGAAACAATGTCGCCTGTGGTATTCCCCGGACTACGGCGTTCCTCCTTACTATTGGCTTCTAGAGTGGTTTTTTTCGAGTAGCTTGATGATTTCTTGTCCGAATCCTGAACAATTTGAATGTATTCTTCCTCAATAGCCGGCAGAAATATAAAAATAAAAACATAAACAAACAAACAATTCTAAGGAACATTCAATACACAATGTAGACACTCAGCGTACACTAGGGAAGTATTAAAAATACCTGATGGCAAGAAATAAAAGCTCGAATAAGGACAAGAGTGCTTGATTACCACATGCATTTCAGGTCAACTACTTTTGGTCTAACCTGTGAATCTTTAGACGGTGCATTCGTTACGTCCTCCGCACCAGTCGAAGATGGCATAACTGTCCGTCTCTGACCACTGTCAGTGACAACTGAAATCTGCTCTTGGTTACGACGTCTATGAGAAGTGAAGACAGCATCATCATCATCTTCTAGCTTCTCGACAGGAGAATCAATGTCCGGAAGTGAGTTCATTTGGAGATATGGTGGGATGAATATCACCATAAAAAACAAGCAAACAATTGCAACTAGGATAAGATCATTTCTTTGCCGCCCTGTACACGCCATATCCGGTAGTCTCGACCCCCTCTTCATATTACCGAATTTGAACTCTGTCAACAGCAAGAAGGTCTATGTTGCTCAGCTTAATTAACATAATTCAGTTCACGTTGAACATGCGAAGGTACTCGCAGGAACACATTGACCCCTCTTTCTTGAATTATTTGTATTGATCACTGAAGATTATGCCGAGATCAAATACATCACTAGGCTACATCCACAGACATTTACCGTCAGCCTAACTCATTTCAGCATTTACAAATGCTCAACTTGACTACTTGGGCCGCATAAAGTGTACTTAGTCATCACCCAAATTTTAACAATACTGCACCAAACTTGAACACACAATCACAAAAACACAAATAGCATTCTTCTTGAAGTCTATGTGAACTTCAAAGGTCTTCATTACGAAAGAAGCGGTAGCTACCGCATAGAATTCGAGGGAACAATCATCTCCCAACACAACGAAGTAAATACATTCTCAAATCAAATAGGATTTGAATGACCACTGTAATAAACCAATCATGGTCTAAGAACCGGAATCCTCACAATCAAAAAATACGCATATCTCCACTAGGCAAAGCTGAAGGAAATGCCTAAGTCTTAACACATTGAACCCGTGGACTTCTTCATACAGACACGAACTCGAAGTTGAAGAAGAAGGAAAAAAAAAAAAAAAAAAAAAAAAAAACTGGGATTCAGCCCTGAGAAGGAAAAAAATCTACAATTGAGCAAAGAGGGTGTCAATCTCACCTCTTGACAGGCTATACTAGGGGTGATGACCACAGCCTGCCTCCATTACAAACCCCCGTCTCTTTTCCACGCGGAAATTTTTTAAAAAGAGGGCACATCCACGCGTAAAAAAAATCCAAATGCTGCACACTCACAAAGGATCAAATTGTCAAGCATCGAATCTGACCATCAGTGACACTTCTGCACATAGATCACCCACAAACAACCCCTTCAAATTGAGAAAAACCGCGATCATGCCTCGAAACTATTCATTACATGTCAGTTCTGTTGGCGAAAACAATCACTGCTAACAACGTTGCACCATCGATCGCCGCACTCTGAATCCGAATTTCAAACTCTCGCAGACTCCTTCAAACAGGTGCTTCACATCCAACCCCTGCACTACACATAAACCATCCCATCTCTTCGGGCAACAAACACAGCCTCCTCCTCGCATGGCCCTCATACACAAGCCATCTCTCTCTCTCCCTCTCTCTCTCTTTCTCTCTCCCTCTCTCTCTCTTTCTCTCTCCCTCTCGCTATATATATATATATATATATATCTCACACTCCAGATTGAATTACAATTACAATCAAGCACGGCGCGAAGGCAACCGCCTTACATATCAAAAACAACAAATCGACAACTGATGCTTGTTGCTCTCTCTCTCTCTCTCTCTCTCTCTCAAAGACTCGCACCACTAGTACTACCGCCTAAAGGAGGCTACGAACGATGCAACCTCCTGAATCTTCCCGAAAGACTTATAGACAGAAGCTTAGCTTGTGTCTACCACTGTTCCGCACAGCATCTCACCACGCTCCAGATTCCAGAGCCCCCCCTCCCTCCCTCCCTCCCTCCCTCCCCTCGTGCGTCGATACGGGAGCCTTTTTTTTGACCGAGAGCTTTCAACCCTAAAAGCTCGATCCCCTAAAGTCTAATGTGCACTGGTTTGGTTGAGTTCGGAACTCGTCAATACCCCCTCCCCTCACCAGCGTCATCGAATGTTTAACACCATCAAATAATCAAACACACAAACCAACCAATAATCAAACCAACAAACTAACAGAGCATCAGGCCTTCATCAGGCCCTAAACTTCGCCAGCGCTAAACTTAGCCGGAGCCCCCCAAACCCCCACCATCGTCGCCTTGTCAACCCGTTGTGCCATTGGATGAATAAAAATTGGACGGTATTGGACGACATCACGTTTTCATCCATCCTTCACACGCTCGATTCTCCGTGCTCGATCACGGTTTCGTAACGCTCGGATGTTTCCCTTTTTGAATCTCGCTTGCCTTTTGCCTTTTTGAGATACTAAAAAGTTTTGCGGAAATTGAATCCGTTTTCAGTTTTCGGTTTTGTGTGTTATGGGTTGTTTAACGATCTCTTGGTGGGCTGTAAAACTTTATTGTGCGTTGGATTACAATTTGTTGTTTTAATGCAATTCAACTTTGTTGAATTTGTATAATTCTGAGATGAGTTTAATTTAAGATTGTTAAGGAGCCTATTATTATGGATTTGCTGAGTTTTTTGGTATTGTTGTTGTTTTGTAACCAAAATATAATACAAAAACTTCTCATGTAACTTCAATGTTGTATGTTTTTGGTTGAATTAGCAATTGACATGTTTTCCAGTTACTTAATGATTTAACTTATTCATGTTTTATATTGTGCCCATTTATGTATCATTGGTTTCAACTCATCATCAAATTATGACTCATTTGCATTTTTGTGACTTGTTTGCATGATTTGTTAAACAATGAAAAATAACTTATGTTTCTTATGTTAAAGTGTGTGGTGTAGTTGTTTTGTAATACATTTGTGACAATTAGTACATTAAGTTAAGCATTAAACACTAATTTCTTTGTCAAGATATGTGTTTGGTTAAATGAAAATTTGTTACTATTTATTATTTAATCATTTTTTATTTTTTTATTTAAAATTACCTGAATAAAAATGATTAGTAATATGTTGGGTTGTTATGAAAAACACATATTTGGAGTATGTGGACATCCAAAATCTTTACAAACGTGTAGAATAAAAATCCTAGATAATTCTCCCCGAGTAAATCAAACTTCTCCTAAAATATTAATATTAAAAAGAAAGCACAAATCCGAGTTTCCATCACTCACACACAAACACACACATATATATATATATATATATATATATATATATACATATATATATTCTCAACAAATTTAAAGGATAGTATAAAAACAGAAATAAATCATCATGCTTATTTTTTTAATTATCATTTGTTGGTGTATGTTTGAAAATGAATCATAATAACAAAGTAAACAAATACTGGGTGTGGACAAATGGTTGGAAAACATGACAAATGCCAGAACTTTGAACAACCAAGAATTTGATATTATCCACACTTACAGCATAACTTTGAACACACAAAGTAATGGTACACATATTTTGGAATAACAAACAATAAAATTTGAAAAAAAAAAAAATACTCTTATTTATCTACTCACACAGGCTTCATATATGCCTTGGTAACACACCTACCATCTAGCTCTAAAAATACCTACCACAACAACCAATCACTTCTTCAAATGAATAAATTAGTAATTATATCAATGTACCAAAGAAATACATCAAATTATTAGATATAATCATCTGCATTTGTTCCTTCTTTCCCACTTCATTGATTTCACTGAGAAATCTCCACACACATGAGGAGAGAAGATTTATGATGAACTCTCTAGTACCCCAATCCAAGTGCCTCACAAGTTCTACACTAGAAACCCAAGGCCAACCAAGTGGAGTTATTTAATAGAAGGAGTTTCAAAAGGGAAAGATGCCATTTGGGTACTTCTCTCTCTCTATCTCTCTACAAACAAACATGTGAAGAGGATGACTCAATTAAGAAACGGAATTGGGGGTACAAGCTCACCATTGTCCTATGCCCAGTACCCATAGGGAGGAAAACAAAAAAATAAAACACACACACACATCATCAAATCATCACACCTCACACTTGGCCTGAAACCTGGCTCATCATGGTCACTGTGACAATTACGTTCAGAATCTGTGTCCTCTCCCCCCCCCCTGGGATGTCAGCCTTGTTCACCCCTTGGAATCAGTCACCTTGGTTCCACTGACCTCATCCACCTGGACTCCTCCTCGCCAAAGGAGGCTGTGTGTGTGCATTGAATGTAAGGTCTGTGGTGAAGGGATTGCCAGAGGGTGGAAATATGATTAAATAAAGTCAAAAGTTAAAAGTCAAGTGGGTGGGTGGGTGGGTGAGAAGTAAAAGGAAGAGGGTAGAAACAGTTGGCAACACATAGAGGGCAAGAGCAGTGGGACTGGCCCAGGTGTGGTGGTGCTCAAGTGTGGGCCAAGTGCATTCATTCACTGTCACTCCAGGTCTTGTCCCACACTTCATTGGGACCAGTGCTTCATAGTCTTCTTCTACCCTTCAGTCATGGTCTACAGTCACCTCTCTTCTCTCTGTCTCCCTTCAGTCTTGGTCCAGGTCTTGGTCCTTCTCCTGGTCTAGGTCAAGTTTCTAATCCCCCACATCCCCATTTCACTGTCGTGGAGGCAGTAATAATAATGATAATAATAACAACAACAATAGTAGTAAGGGGAGTGTGTGATCTAGGCAAGGGATGAGGAGCAGCAGTTCACCATTCTCTCAAGCAGACCCACAGGAATGTAATGGGTGATTGGATGTGGGATTGTGTGGGAGAGCTTGGTCACATAGGGAAATGGTTGTCACTGATTGGTTTCATGTGTGGTGGCAGTGGTGGTGATGTGTTAGGGGTGCAACATTTAAAGCAATGGAAGCTTGTCTTACATCCATGCATGGATGGATGAAAACACAAGGTTTGGTGTTGTGCTATGACTGCATGGCCAGAGTGTGCTTTGGCACAATACTGGGAAAAAAAACTATGGAACCCAGGTCCTAGGTGAAGCAGCATAATAACACAGTGGATGGCAAAGTGTCAGGTGGTGGGAACCCTCATAGTTCACAAGTCAACCTGGTCTCAGTTTCTAAAGAGGAAGCTGAAGCTTGGGAATGGAGCACACAATTCCACTATTACAAAAGCTCCAGTGAGATGGAATAAAAAATATTCAGCTTCATAGATTTGTCTACATCCCACATTGATCTCTCATTTTCATGGCTCCAGCTCACAACACTTTTGTACACCCACACACACAACTCACTTTGCCAGTATGGCATCCAATAAAAGTGGCTGTTTTTAACTCATGTGAATGGTTTTAGTTGCATCATGTCTTCATTTACAATGAAAGCATTAGTCCTTTTTGTTCTTGGGTTTGTGTTAAATTTATTGTTTATTATAGTGAATGGCTTCCTAGTACATTGGTGCTGGAGTTTTGTGGAATACAAGCAAACTAGATGAATATGATTTGTACCCAAGTTGACAAACTGGGCCAGTTTTTGAGGAGCCCTGGAATCCTTGACAAAGGGGAGAGTACCTCATGTGCATTGGAGTCTGCATCCACTAGTCCTCCTCCTTCACACCATCTTTGCTCAACCATTTTTTCTTGTACATACTCAAAATCCAAACTCAGAGTAGTTTGTTTTACTATCAAAACATGGACATGCATAAAGTTTTAGTCTGCCCCTGTGGGATGGGCAGGTAGCATCCAAAAAAATAGTATCTGGAAGATCCATGTGGAACAGTTGTCTCCCCTTTCAAATATTAGTCCCAAGGTGCATGAGCAAATCAATATTTTTACCATTATTATTATTTTTTTATTTAAACATTTTCAGGTTGAGAGGGTAAAGATAGAGAGGATCATATCAAACTTTCCAAGATGGAAAAAAAAAAAATGATTCTAAAATGATGCAAGGGAATATTGTGAAGGAAAAAGAATTCCTTTAATTTCAAAACCTTAATTCTAACACATGAAAAAAAAAGTCATTCTTTTTCTATTGTATTCCCATTATTTAGAGTGAGATATAATGAAAATTACTGCTGACCTACATTTTCAAAAACACTGTTGGGATAAACTTGTGCAGTGGATTTTCTTTTGAATTAATTGTTGTACATGATAGTTTATTCTTTCTGCCCTCAATGGTGAACATCTTCGGATGTAAACACCCCAGTTAATCTCAATTGTGGTACTTTAATTAGTTAAAGTTGGTCTGGGTTGTTTACATCTAGAGCATATATTAGCTAACTTCAAACAAATGGTATAATTAATTGATACGCACATGCATACAATATACTCAGTTTTAACATTCAGTTGTTTGAGTTGAAAGTGAGCAATTGCTACAGAAATTGCTACAGAAAAGAAGTTTGAGATACAAATTACTTAATTGAATCAGTAGTGCAACCTCTTGTTACACACACACACACATGTGTATATATATATATATATATATATATATAATAAATAAATTGTTAAATTATTGAAATTTTAAATACAGTTTAAGAAAGCAGCATGATTTGTAAAATTTCCAACTAAAATTTCTGTTTATTCACATGTAGCCGTTATTATTTGATAAATTTGTGTACACTTGAAAAAGAAGAAGAATCACTGCAATTATGCATACAAGCTAACAACTAGACTTTCATGTATCATTTGTTGAAATGTTTGTGTTTTTCTTTTGCATGTCTTATGTGGACAATGTTGCAATAATTTCTTTGTCACAATATGAAAATCTTGTAATTTGATCATAAGTTTTCATCTGGTAAGTGTGCAACAAACCATGGATTAAGTCAAACTGAAAAACAATGATGCAACCTATATTTGTTTGATTTTTATTAGATTCCTGTTTATCTTAGAGCAACTTCATTCTAACATGGCTAACTAATTATGAAGTATAGATTTAATGGTAAAATAGAAGAAAAAAAATTAATCAAAAAGTTATTTTACAGGTAGCTAACAATGACACTTGCTTGGTGATGAGTATTAGGGGGTTTTCAACCACTTTCAATGAAAAAAAAAAAAAAATCCAGAAAAAAACCAACCAACAAATGAAACAAATGTGTTTAATTAGTATTGATTTTCTGTATGACATCCGTGGCCAAAAGTTCCTACACACATGACAATAAAAACAATCAAAGTTGACAAAACCAAGGCAATGAAGGGAAACAGCAAATAGGGATTTGGAGGTGTTTTGGTGGCTCGAGGCTATGGTCTCTGCAACCCAGAGATGTCAGACTCTATGTGAAACTGGGTATGCTACCTGGACACAGTGCTCTCTCTTGCCCTTTGTATTCATAAATTGAAAATTGACTTGAATTGACTTGAATTGACTTGACCCTTAAATTTTGTTATTAAAAAGTTGGAATAACTCCCAAGTAAACAAATATTTATTCAAAAAGGGAATGAATCTGACTTTCGCCACACACGTGAAATGGGGGCAGCGAGGAACGAACGTGCAGACACAAATTGACGAGAGAAGGGCGACGATGCACGGATGAACGAAAAGGGAACGATCCGGCGAGGGAATGGACGGAGAGGGCGACGGAGGCGGAGAGCACGAATGCCGAAAGGACCCCGCGCGGGGGGCTCCTCCACCTCCTCCGCCATTGTAGGGGTGTGTGTCATAGCGCTGGCGTTGGACTCCAAGGCCACGACTCAATGCCCGCCCGCATTGCCAGCATCTCCAGTGCAAATTCTCTTTGCTGCTGCTGCTACTGCGCCAGCCAGCCAGCCACACTCGCAACCATCTTGCTCCGGTTTTTATGCCACCCCACTTCGCATTTCCGGGCCCATTTTGGCTGCAATTCTAGTATCGGAGGAATGCAACGAGTGCGCGGTTGGGTCTCTGCGCCGCAGGCTGATGAGCGCCATGTGTCGTAGAGCGAAAACCGCATCCATCGTTGGCTGATTTCGGGGCGATCGGGTGATCGTGTTTGGATTGTCGGGAAGGGTGTGGTGGGTTTCGCGGTTGTGAGCTTTGACGGTGTCTGGCGACGATGGGTGTCATTGAAGGGGTTGCAGGTGGAGGGCTGTTTCGCGTAGTGTGCCAGCTGTAGGGGAGTGAGGAGATCCACGGTGAATTCTTCGCCTCAGTGGGAGTATTACCAGCTGGCTCACGCGGTGATTTCTTCATTGTTTGTTCGTTTGTTTGTTGTTGTTGTCACTTTTTTTCTTTTCTTGGGGGGAAGGGGGTTTCGTTGGCGGTATTTTCCCTTGAGACAGTGAATGTGAGCAGGGCGAAAGTTGGCTGTCATGGTCAATACCTGGTCCCACCTGCAGCATTGGTCGATCACGCCTTACGAGATGTCGCATTGTAATTCTCCAGGAGTAAATGAGATTGTTGGAGAGGTTTCTGGGAGGGAATGTTGAGAGGGAGAGGGAGAGAGAGTGGGCGAGAGAAAGCGAGAGCGAGAGAGAAGAGGAAGAGAGGGAGAGAGAGAGAGAGAGAGAGAGAGAGAGAGAGCTGGAGGTTTTCTGAAGCTGCCTGCATTCGTCTGAGTTCGCCTCACTCATTAGAATCTGTCCGAATATGCGTTCTGACTTTTCTGAACTTGGATGAGCGGTGCGTGCAATTGGGGGGAAATGCAATGTGGCTTCTGGAACCATCAAACCCACGTTTTATTTTTAGCCACAAGGCTGTATTTTTCAAGAGTAGTGAAGCGTGTTCCCGGAGGATGAAGCGATTTAAAACCATCGCCAAGACCTTCAATTAGTCTTTGTAGGGCGTCATCGGGGTGGCGGACTTTTAAGACAAGTGCTACTTTTGTAATTTTTGGTTTCAATTCAATTTTTAGTTTCGATAACCAGTGTTTCATCGGAAAGAATGACAGTGGTTTGTAAAGAAACAAGCCGATGGTTGCTCTTAAGCTTAGAGGGACGCAGGCGGACCCCAGGAAGTCGGCCCCAATGTACATTTAGAGTGTGTGTATCGTTTATGTAAATGTAGGAGGATGTCATCATTGCTTGTCTCTTGACATGCTAGTCTTAGATTCCTTGATATTTCTAGGGGTGCAGCTGAGGTGGCAGTTGCGGCAAACATATTTTTGTTTTAGGGAAATCAAATCCAACTCTCCTTCTTCTGAGCGCCCGGGCGCGTCTTCCTGGAAGTACAGCTGCAACATTAGTTGTGTTGCGTGAGAGCTTGATCATCTTGTTTTTAGAGTTAATCCAATTAGGAACTCCAATTGCATGTTGCCAGATGAGTCCAAGTTTTTCTTTTACTCCAATTTCAAATTGTCACTGCTTTAGTTTAAGTTTAATGTGACTAGAAACGTATACTGTATTCTTCTGCAAGTTTCTTAAAACAAGTAGGCTTGAATCTAGAGGCTAAATGCATCAATTCTGATAACCTCATTTGGACCTAGCTTTCTATAGACTCCTGAGCATGATCCTGATTGTCTCGCGCCTTTGATTATGATGTGCTTTAGTTCCATTCTTTTATTATTATTTACAAGCAATAACGTTACTCTGTTTTCGAGGTGTGTTCTGACATTTTCATATTTATCTGCATGACAGCTCATTGGAAAGAACAACACAGAGGCAACAGTGAGGAATTCGGAACTTCCAATTCCCACTTCGAGATATCGGATGAATTAAATCGCTTGGTTAGTCAACTGGAATCTAGTCACGAGGCATATCAGACGTTATCATGCTCATGAAATGCGCAAAGGTCATGCCGGTGGAGATATCCGATTGCAGGGATGTCCTGGTAGCTGAGGATGAGGTTATTGGTTTGCAGTCTGGAACGGCGTGGCTTCCTCAGAGGAGAGTGATAGTGACTAGAGCTTGAAAAGCCGACACAATGCCTTTGGTGCGGTATGAAGTGCAGTCCGAGCACAGCTTGGCTAACCCCGAGCTTTACCGCACTGTGGGTCGAGATGATTCTGAGGGACTGCTTGAAGGAGTGGCCATGGCGGGTCTTGTGGGAATTGTCCGCCAGCTCGGTGACATGGCTGAGTATGTGTTTCAGATACTCGTCGGTTGTGAGCATTTTTGTTTTACTACGCACTAGTGTTGCTCCAAGTTCTTTTCAGGGATTTGGCAAAGTATTTACACTTGGTTCTGATTGGGTCTGTGAACGTCATTACGTTAAGATGTGTAAGTCTGGTGTAGGTAGTGGCCTCAAGCACACAGTATCCGAATACTGTGAAAATTGGTCTTAGCTAAGATTAGTTTTGTTCGCCAGTTCTCCTGCACTTAGCTTTTCCTGTAACTGCTTAGCGGCTACCTAGATTCGTCCTAAATTTTGCTACCACCTTTCAGAAGAGCTTGAAGTTTGTGCTCAGAAATTTAACAAGCTGGGGTGCACCTGTCATCGGACGCTGAAGATGAGCTTGTGTTCCGCACCAAATGACTTGTTTCATTTCGCCAATCCTTGCAGATTCGCAGCTGAGATTTTTCAGGAGCTTCATGACGAAATCATGGCAATTGGGATACGAGGCCAAGATTTGAAGGCCCGGGTGGGTCGTCTAGAGACTGATCTGCCGGCTGTGGAGAAGACCTTGCTTTCGGAATCTAGTCAGATAGATTTCGCGTACAGTATACGTGGGTTAAAGTTTATGACCTTCTAACTCTTTTCTGCTTTAGGTGTTCATCAATTGGTCACTTGATTTTTATATACATTAAGAACATGGTTCTATTTCAGCACTCAGCAGATTGACTGTGAAGTGGTGGATGATGTTGGTCTGGCAGGATCTAAATGGCGGGCACCTCTGCCAATAGACCAGAATTGTTGTGCGCAAGGAGACCTCCCACGCTTCGTTCGAAACTTCTATGACGACTGTCGAGGTCCACCTCGCCTGTTTCTTCTTGACAAGTACGAAGCTCGACTTTTGTCATGAATAATTCATCTGCATCTTTTAGGGTAAGGATAGGATCTCCTAGGATCGTTTAATTGAGTTGCGTTTATTACACACCAGGTTCGATGAAGCTGGGCGAGGTGCGTGCGTGAAGAGGTATACAGATCCGACATTTTTTAAGCTCACTTGGGCTGCCACGCAGCTAGAGAAAGCTGAACGATTGCGGAGAGAACAAGAGTTTGAACTACAAGTGATTGCTCTATTCTCATCCTTCATACCGTTCCAACGCTACTCTACTTTCGATCTTTTAGTCTCATGAACATCTTTGTCCCCACTTTGATTACTTCTTGTTTACATCGACACATTGACAGCCGTGTCTAAGTGTCCTGCAGTCTGCCAATCGAGTGCGGCGCCGCATAACAGTAGCAAGCATTGGATACTGACATCTCTTATTGTCAATATTTGTATCAGAGAACAAACAGTGCAGATGAGAAAAGCTTGAATAATGAAGGGTCGAAGATTTATAGAAGGTACTGTTTTCTGAATGAATTTCGTTCATGAGCACTTTCTTGTTGTTTGTAATATGCCCTGTTTTCGCTGAACGCAGTCGGTCGTCACCCCAATTTTTCAAGTAGGGAGTTTGTCAGCACTGAAGCTCTGAACATGTTGCGTAATAATCCAAAATAACAGAGAACGATTATCGTCCGCTCTTTTCGAGAATCTCGAAGGATTCACAGGCGATTTTACTCCCGATCTGCGATCAAGGCGCTTGGACCGGGTGCTTGAGCTTCCAACTGAGGGTGATCTGACGCCCGACGGGCCACTCTCTCCCGAGGAACCTCGATCACCGGAGCGCACATTTCAGAAGCGGCCTGAAATGCCTGAAATATCCGAAGGGCCTGTTCTGACCCCACTGAAGATCAGTGTCAAAGACATCGAGAATCTAACGATGGGACATCGGATTTCAACGCCCAACGACCCAAAGGAGCCATCTTCGAACGAAGAGGATGCAAGTAATGACGATTTCTTTGTAGATGCGCTGACAACGATGGGATCGGACCCAGATTCCGAGCCTGGCTCCCGAACCAGGTGGGATGCCGAAGTCCAGAGCCACTTCGGTATGGAGTCCGACCAGGAGAAATTTCTAAATCACTCGGTGCTGAAGGCACATGTGGAAGCGCACCATCAACCATCGCCCGAAGGATCTGACGAGTTGGACCAAAAAGACGGATTCGGTCGTAGGCTTGGTGGTTACAAGCAGCCTGAAAGCCCTGGCGCGGGTACTGGCACAGTTCGTGAGTCGGAGGATGCTGCTGAAAACGCTGCTGGAAGTTCTGGCGGTCAGCCTTCCGTTGAGGGCGAAGAGTCCCAGTCTGTCGATGAAAGCATCGCTAATGAGTCGATTACAAGTGAAGAATCTGATGCACGGAATGAGCACGCAAGCATCTCTGAGAAGGTGCCCGAGGGGTCTCTACTTCCTCTACATCTCGAAAAGTTTCCTGAAAAACGTTATGATGAATTTTCAAACATTATTCCTTCAAAACTTCCAGAAAATCTTCTTGAAAATCTTCCTAATGGTAGTTCTGGTGATCTTCTCAAAGAACTTTCAGAGACGTGCCCTGATAAGCTTTCTTGTATACCTCCAAAGAAGGTTCCTGAGAAGGTTGTTAAGAATACTCCTATTAAAGTTCCTGAGAAGCCTACCCTCGAATCACATGAGTCTATATCACTTCTAGAGGTCCGCAAAATTTCATCCAAGTCCAAAGAACAGCGAGCTTCTGTGGAGGTTACAGAACAATTCCCTGGGTTGTACAATCATGATCCACATGCAGTGAAAGACGACCAGTTGGCGTTGGCTAATGTTGAGCAGCCTATAACGACTCCTAGAAGCCGTCGTCTCTGGGCAAAAGATAATGGTTCCCAGATTCAAACTAGCAACATTCTGGGTAAGGCCGACATTGATCACAGAGGTTTGTCTCTACGGTTCAATGGTGGATCAGAGTTGAATAATTTGCTCAGGGCTGGCATACTGGGCGGTAGCGGCCATTTTCATGAGGAATTAAGTTCAAACTCACAGCGTGCTCTCATTCCTGAAGAGGATCACTCTGTTCGAGTTTCTGAGCAAAGTGGCTACGAGTTGATATTACACCGACGTCATCCTTCGTCTACTGGTTCAAGCCCCTACAGTCATGTTTCATCTTCCTCTGCGCATGAGGATGACGATGGAGCGTCCAAGTCGTCAGCTAGCTCTTCTCCCAAGGGGCCAAATTTTTGTGCATTGTTGTCACCACCTGAGTCACCGCTAAGAGTGGCTCGTGGGTTGATGGGTAGCCCTGTTGGTTTTAGTTCAAACACACACTTTTGTAGTAAAAGTCTTAACGATCCTCCTGACATCCCTTACCTCTCAATTTCACCGACGGTTTCAAGATCACTATCGTTAAATCTGGACCTTTCTTCAAGTGAGCGTGATGAATTGCTTCAGAATTACCCTTCTGCTCAGCAGGCACCTCAGCTCATATCATCACCTCAACGACGTACTAATTCAAGCTCCTCGACTTCTCTGATGATTAATGACCCTGCTGCGAGTTTGGCAAAAAACTTAGATGAGGTATAATGTTCTCAGCTCCAACTGCAAATTCATTGTAAAGTTCCACCTTCTTGTCGAGGATTACAAGCTTGGAATCCACGAGGTGACTGAGATGAGACTGATAGTTGGTCAGTGAATTCTCAAAGTAAAATTTTGACATTATCTTGTCCTTTCTCTCGCAGCTCGAGAGCGTCCCTGTCACTGATCCAAAGAGGACTAAAGATAATGGGGGTTTGCATTTCGAATCAAGTGGAAACCAGGTGTTCATTTTGGCCTCCCACTTCTTGTGAAGTGAATATTTCTGATGACTTCCTGCTGTTTGTCTAGTTTTAGTGCCGCGTTAAGGTTGTGGAAGTTGCGGTTAATTTCACTAACATTGGTTTGTGACGTGACCAGACTTCGACCCTCTCAAACTTAGCGTCAAGGCCAAGGACGTGGGTGGGTCGTTCAGAATCCAACGTCGCAGCCACTTTGCGTGCAATTCGGCAGGTGGGCACTTGTAGTTTTATTCATTTATTCATTTATTCAACATGTCTACGCTTTTTCTGTAAATTTATAGTAAAAGAGCATGTACTGTTGTTTATCTGTAAATTACATGGCTTGATGATTCTAGATGTTACTGGAAAGATGGAAGTCATTCCTGAACGAGGCTCTTCTGACAGTCATCGTCACTTCTTTGTTTGTTGTAGGCTGCGGCAGTAGAAAATGACCAAGATGATGACACAGCAAGTGAGTGTCGAAGTGATTGTTAATGATTTACCAGTTGTGAATGACCTGGAGCATGGCTTCCCAGCCAGCCCAAGGTTTCAAGTTGTATGGGTTAGCAAAACAGTTGAGGTAGCGTCACATATGCAAAAGAGGAATATAGAGGGCCCATTTCATACTTCAATTTTTCGAGTAGTAGACACCAATTTTTTGTACTTTTTTCAACAGTTTTCTTTATTTCTTATTTCTTACTTTTTTTCTTTCTTTACTTGTGGGCTTTTACTTCATTATGAATAGGGCTACAACGGAAAGCATCCATACATGAAACGAACAAAGGTCCTGTGAGCGTTGACCTCCACAAATGTCAGTTTTTTTACACCTCAAGGGAGAGAATCGCAGGAGATGTTGGACTGTATCGACAGTTTTGGTTAATTGGAAAACTCTCAAAAGCATTCCTACAAGCACCAAATGTTTTGCAATACGTTAGAAACGAAATTCTAAACGAATTCGACTTAGAACTAAACTTCTGATTGTGCTGCAACGAATCGTCTACTTGGCCACTGCAGCATACACCGTCCGCAGGAATAATGTAGTTCTTTTGATGCAGCAAAAAGTAACATTTCGTATCATTCCGTAGCTCATACTCTTAATTACCTCACAGTTTTCATTATTCATGGACAGCCATCAGATAACGGCATTACTGCATGGAATGTGAATGAGAGTTGAATTTATCTAATATTTATCCACCAAAGAAGATGATGTTTGATTCATTTCAATTATCATTATTATCATCATTTTAAAAATCTTAACAGTACATGGTAAAGGCTATGTAGTGAATCCAACTTCTTCATGGACGTGGAATTCTGAACAGCAACTGTGCAGATACTGCTCAGATGTACAATTCTGTGTTTCTTTTCTGAGTTTTTCCGACCATGACTAGGCATTGACTTCTTTACCTTTACATTTGTATTTATGCATGTATACTACAAATTTGTGCTGTTGTGCATACAAACAATATCAATAAGTATATATTTTATACATTTACAAAAATAATAATCAAAATATAAATATATTTTATGAAAATGTATAATTATACATATACACCTACATACATACAAAAATATCTTGCTTAATTTTATATCTGTGGTGGATAGAAGTTTTATAAATTATGCAAGGTTTTTATAATATAAGTGGAATCAACCATTGGTTAGAGGGTTTTGTTAGTGGCTGCAACTTTAGTAATTTCAGCTTTGCTATTGTCTTGCCTCTTCTTGATGAGCCATCTTTACTGAGAGATCTATGTATGCACAATTTGGGTGACTTTTTGTGAATTAGAGATAGAAGCTCATTACTCACATCCTAACAATTTCTTTCTTTTGGTTTTTCTCTAATTGTTCTTAAAAACACAATGCTGATATCTTTTTTTGCACTATCTATTATCATTGTTGTGTTTTCCTTACTCCAAATATTGTGCAAATCAATTGCAAAAAATTTGATAATTACATTGGATAGCCCATTTAGATGTTGTGAAGTACATGACATGTGTGTAGTATGATCATCTATAGAATGTCTTTGATATAACAACAAACCTATATGAATCTTCATCAAATCTAATTTAATCGAGATCTCTTTAGACAAATTGTTGTGAATCAAAACAAATTATCTTAATAAACTTCTTCGTAACCAAAAGGCTTTTGATCCCACAAATTAGCTTTAATTCATAAGAAGGCTTTTGATCCTACCTCAAATTGTCCATTAAATTCAACTTCATTTTTAATAATAAAAAAAAACTGAATGTTTTGCATTTGCTCCAATCTATCAATGCCTAATTTTAAAACCCTAATATCTATTAGATGCAAGTGAAGATTGCATATATGGAACAAAATGCAAAATCTTTGTTCCATAACACAAATTCTTTAAATAGAGATGGCTAAAGAAGAAGATGGAAATTCATCTATTCTAAATCCTAAATGGACAAATAAATGATCTCTATTCTTATTTTGCAAGAAAAATCAATATTTAAAATTTAAAATTTCTCACCTAATTCTTTAATTAAATTATAAAGTTTCACCTGTTTTATATTAATTATACAAAAAGTAAATTTATAAGTTTATCACCTAAAAACAACCTCCATTCTAACAAAGATTAATAGCTAAGCATAGAATATCAATTGAAGATATAAATTATGTAAGGTACCATTATATATGTGTGTGTAAAAATTAATATATATATATATATATATATATATATGAAATAAAATTTCTTATTTTTGTTAAATTATATCTTTAAAAATAATTATTTTAGAAGAATTTAAAAATATGTTATTAAACATTGAAAATATATAATTTTAAGAGGTTTATATGTATATTTTTTAATCATCTATTTGAAGTTTAATCATAAATATAAAATACAAGTCTCATTAAAATTATTATTTTTAAAATATATAAGAAATTTCTATAAGTGAATAAATTACTAGATTTACAACACTTTTAAGATGTTATACCCAATGCCTTTGCAATTTTTTTAATGGTACTTATTTATACTTGCATCTTTGACATGTTCAAATTATGATAGAATTTATTTTGTAGAGTGTGTATTTGTCCTATTTTTTGAGTTGAGTGGTTGACCTTTTGAGCAACTTACTAGAGAGTTTTCTAAATCAATAGTCATTATTCCCAACTCTAAGAGTTTTTCTGTGCATCTTTTGCTACTAGTAGGATGTGACAAGTTCATGTGTCTAACCAACCTCTTTAAAGACAATATTTAGTTTGATGGCATTAATAGTCTTCATTGGAGTGGACTAAGCTATCAAAACTAGTAAGTTGATTAAGTGATATTGAATATGGAAATCATCAACCATCAAACTTTTTTCACAATGCAACATCCTTTTAATTTGATGTTGATAAAAAAGGCCAAGTGTGGTTGTAAATGTGCTTGAATAAATAGTGATGTTGTCCAAAGATGTTATAGCTAAGTAAAATTACTCAAATATAAAATTGAGTGTGTGCATCAATACCTTCATAACAACACTCTTAAAAAAGTTGATGTTGTAATGGTGATATACATGCATATGCTCAAAGCTCTCTTGAGCCTTGATTGCTCTTATTATATTTTCAGAAAAAGAGAGAGAGAAATTTGAAAAAAACATCTTAGATGACATTTATGAGTGCCAAGTCCATGTCAATACTAATATTAAAGAGCTGCAATTTCCCATATAATAGCATAAGTTGCATCAACACCTAGTACATAAATAGTTGTGTTTCTTCTTTGAAAAATGCAACTACAATTGTGAAGGACGTGTTGAAACTTGTGACATCCATGACATGTAGTATAGACATCCTAAACTTGTTTGTTTTATATATGCAATTCATAACTATATTGTATGAATACCTTTTTATAAGTTGTATATATCTAAGATGAGTAAAAAATAGACAATTAACCTTCTTTGTCTCATTGCAATCATTGGCATACTAATATGAAGCATCACAAAAAATTTCCATCAAAGTGTGAATAGCCAAACAACCATGAAGATGAACCATACAAAGCTGCTAGTGTTCATTGTAGATAGTTTGCATAACTACTAGTCATTTGGTGTAAAATAGTAACAACATCCCTTGGAGCTATTCTTGCAACAAGCATCCAAGCAATTAAAGCTTTTTGTATAGGTTGGAAGCAATTAAATATCTTAATAGCAAAGTAGAAGAATCACAGTTGTGACTTCTATTTTAAACTAATAAATGCCAACGTTGGTCAATATATAAATAATAAACAAACAATTCTAATGGGCATCTTGTCAATTGCATGGCTAAATTACCATGACAAGAATTTGCTTCAAATCCATTGTAAGTGAGACCTTTGTTGTACTTAAAGGCAATGCGGCCCTTGTCAAAGAAATGTTGACAAACTACATAACCCTAGGCATACAAAAATCAATTTTAACATCTCTTTATTTCTTTATAAGTGGCAAATGATTCTTTTAGTAAAGGAGCTATTTTGGAATAGAAAAATACCAAGATGCCTATGGCCTCCTTCCCTACATAAAAGATAGTATGATATAAAGTTACAAAACTAAAGAAAGTGAAGGAGAAGAAAGTCAAAGATAATATTGTAAATTTAGAGTGGCAATGAAATAGCCTACTTGACTTAATGATAACATCATAAAGCTATTATTACCATTTAATGTGACTGTCAAATTTGAACTATTTTACCAACCATGTCTCTACAAAAAAATTGGATCAATCTAATTGCAAAACAAATGATATTTATTGTAACATGTTGCACATTGCCAATCTAATTTCCAATTTAATATGCTTATGCGTACTACTGCCACCAAATATTGATATAATTTCCAATCAAAATGCTGATGGGAGGGTCGAAATAACAGCTGGTGGGGTGGGGTCGAATTAGTATTCCCCTTAATTAAGAGCTTACTTATTGATGTTATTGATATCGTTTCGTGAGAATGAGAATGGTTGATCTATTAAATATTCATCTATGCATGTTCCTCTAAATTACAGTCCAACACAAATGACATTTGATTACAAACTCTTCAGTTAAATACTACAACTTGGCACATGGACCAACTATTTATCAAGTTCATATGATTTCACATCTGAGATTGTTAATTGTGTACAAAGGTAGTATTTTCTGTTCCTTGAAATAAATTGATGCCACTAAATGGGAGATTACGAAGTGATGATGTAAAAGTTGTTTATTGATATGTTACATGTAAATCTCTGAATCTGAAAGTAGCCTCCTCCCTGCAATTGATTTTGCAGCTGCAATGAAGTCTATGATCACATTGTTTGCAAGAGCTTGTTGACACACATTCTGCAGAGCCGAAGCCAACTGATTGACTACGCTAGTATCCGCAGTAGGCCATGACATCAAAAGTTCTGCTCTTAAAGCTCTTAGTTGACACTGCGCCAAAAAGGTACTACATTTTAGTAGGTAAGCAACGAATCACAACGAGTAAAACGGTACGACTACACGCACGATTACAAACAATGGGGGAAAAGCTAAATAAACACAATACTCACATGGGTGATGAGGGCTGCAGCAACACCGTCTACCAAGCTTCCAGAAGGATAGTAGGGCGCAATAGAATCCTTGTTCTTCTTTCCTTTCTGAAAAATGAAAACGAAACTAGTTTACACAAATGACGTGAATCAAAAGCCATACATGAAATATGTGTTACTGTGTTCAAGAGAACAGACCAATCTAACATGTCTGGCAGTGTGCAATCCGAAGTTTTTGAATTCTAGACTACATTAAATGCTGGCCAACGACATGGTCCAGTTTACACGGTATCAATTATATCAGAGCGATAATGCATATACATTATAAATGAAAAGGAAGCAGCTTATGACTTCATAAGAGGTAGCACGTCAACATCATCCAACTCTTGGATTACGAGTCATACACATGAAGTAATAATGTAGAAACAAATACTGTCTGGTACCTTGGATGCGCTGGTTTCCAGAAGAAATAAGAGAGGTTCATCAGCTGAAAGTTTTCCCCTAAAATGAAGGGTTGATATTCCATCCATGATCAGCACCCTGAAATTAAATCAATCAATTATTTGCAGATGTCGGTTAGAAGAAAGAGCAGTACTTTCTCTGTTCTATCAGTCATTATAAATACTACACACTATTGTTTATCACATGCGAAAACCCTGAATCCAGATTGTCACATACCTCTCAGGCCGGATGGCTTGGAACAGTGATTTAGTCCAGATGGTCGCACTTTCTGGCGGAATGGCATACTGAATAGATGCGAATACAACTGAGGCCTGCGAGTCGACTGCATAAAGGTAACATTCTTTATTGTGTGGACTTGGTTCTATCTCATTATTCACCTGTAAATAGAGCGCCATTAGCACAGTAAGAAAAATAATCATGATCACCCTTCGACTATAGCCCTCGCGGCCCGAGTAAGAGTTCCATCAAAAGGCAAAGCTGAACTATAAAACCAAAAGGGGGAGAATATTCCAAATGGAATGCGACTCTGTCGAGGTGCTTAAGTCACTGTACTTTATGAAATGCCAGCGGCTCAAACTTCACAAAGAAGCACAATATGACTGCAAATTTAACATAATTCAAAAAGTAGTCCACGTCGTGTATCATCAAAATAGCACTCACCATGGAGATCTCAGGGAGGACAATGGAACCAACAATTCTCTTGTTAGGAATCTGGTGCAAAAGGTGGATACCAACATCGGAGACACAAAACAGTGCAAGTTGCGGTTGCAACACACCTGATTGAAGGAGAGTCTTGGCCCATGGAGCCCACTGTCAACCGCCAACACCACCACGAGTCAAGTTCCACATCCGTAAACCCTAAAAACACCCTAGGCTGATCAAACTAAGAATTGGTAAGAACCCACCCAGATGCAAATAGCAGCTCAAATGTACGCGATAACAACGCAAAATACACACGAGAATGCCCCAAAAGAGAGATAGAAGGAAAAGGGATGAGTGGGGGAAGGGAAACTGACGACGATGAGAGGCGGAGAGGGCTGCACATCACTAGCTGCAAATGCATTGAGCTCGTCCGGGTCGAAACGAGAAGGCGGAGGAAGGTCTGTCAGCGGATCCGGCATGCCCGCCATGGCTCCGTCTCCCAACCCAGCTAATTACAACACCAACAACAAAGAACTAACTCACAAACTGGGTGCAACGATGAGCTTCACAATCAGATCCACGAGATCGTCCCGAGGGCAATTGCGACAAACTTCTCACAAGACCCCATTGCGGTCTTGCTGCGCAACATGGACGGGCTTACAGTGCACTGATCGACGAACTCGCATTCTCGTCGACTCCGTCGTCGTTTCGGTTCGTCAACTTGCACTTCTTCGTCCCCTTCCTCTTTGACGTGGAAGCTGCCCCAACGACAAATGCACGGAGAACGTCCATAGGCGCAACTTGCGACTGAAACGAGTTTTGGGGGATTTGGGTCTTAATGGGACCCATTCACCGTGACACCGAAACCCTAATTCTCACCATTGTTAGTTGAGGCCAATGGAAGTTATCCTAATTACATGACTATTTCTATTATTATTACTGTCAACAAGTGAAAAAATCTAAAATTTTGTAAAATACAAGGTAATTTTTTTGTAATACCCAAACGTTTCTTTGTTTAAAAGATATAATAATATGACTTTAAACAATAGTTTGGCTTCTATTTTTGATAAATAAAGAAATATATATATATATATATATATATATATATATGATGATGAATTTATGAGAAAAATATGAAATGGAAAGAAGATAAATTCTCTAATTAGCTACAATTACTATTTTGCTATATTTAGTAATATATAACTATATATAATAATATATTATTATTTTGCAGCTAATTTTTAATAATTCAAGTTAGTTTTGGTGATGCTGAGTTTTTAACATTATAGTTTATGATAGTAATTGTAATATGATATAATTTCTATTAAAAATTATAATTTAAACTATAAAAGTTGTAATTTTTATTGAGATTAAGAATATTTCCTTATATAAATAAGTGTATATATATATATATATATATATATATATATATACACACACACATATAGATTAGCATAAAAAATAACTTAATTTTTTTTATAGGTTTAGAAAAAATCAAAAGAAATATTTTAAAATAATACAAAAGTTGAATATAATAAATTTGAGAATGTTTCTATTTTAATAATATATTTTTATAGTTTTAAAGATATTTTTTTAATATTCAAAATAAATAGTGATATAACATAAATATTATAATATGAAAGAATGTAATTACACAACATATATGTATTTATGATCCTTCAAATTTATTATAATTTTATTTGTTACTTATAAAATTATATAAATTATTTTGTGGTTTTATTGATATGATTTAATTCTTTAAGTATTTTTTGAACTAATTTGTATCTTATGTATATAAATATGCACATCTAATATATGAATATTAACAAGGTTAAATTTCTAAAAAAATAAACAAGCCCTTCTATTAGCTTATGTGCTATACATACTTTAAATAATGTTGTGATGGAGTTGAATTTGAAAATGCATGTATTTCTTAGGTATTTTTCTTGTATAAAGAGAGAATTTTTGTAATCTATAAGAGATTAATTAGAAGATATTTACATTGTTAATGATGTTTCTAATGTAAAACAATACTTTGTTTGTATAATAACTTAGATATATAAACCATGTAAATAACTTCTTTTGAACTCATGATAAAAGTTGAAATACTCATTTCTATAATATATTAGAATATGACATATATAAATAAGCTTTAATGAGCGAGATATTGTTACTTGAAGTCATAGTAAAAGTTCAACTTAAATAGTTTCAATTGAATGATTTAGAATAGAATATATGTACATATATATGATTGTGTTTGTTCATTCTGAAATTCTTATTATCTTAAAAAGAGTAAAAAGACTAGTTGTGCTTGACTATTTGTATTATCTAAAACGCTTCTAGATTTCTTTGGCTGATGATAAATTATAAATTTAAAGAATTTATAGAAGTATAATTTATATTTTTTTTGTATTTATGCTCACATTATCAATTTATTCTTTGCTTAAAATTTTATATCATTTTTTTTTATTTTGATAAAAAATAAAATGCACATATTAAAATTATAAAAATAATTTTATTTTATTTCTTTGATTGATTTTTATGGATTGCAAAATTATAAGTGTAGAATTTTTACAAACATCTTAATGAATGGTAATTGTGTCTATTAGTTATTACTAATATAATTATAGGTGCTATTTTAAATAATAAAATATAAAAATAAATTTTTAATAAATAATTTAGAAAATATTTTAATAATAGGTGTAGAATTAGTATTTTTTTTAATAATATTCAAAATATTATTTTCTATACTAGATATTAGAGAATGATATGCAAAAATAATTTTGATAAGCTCTTATAAATAATTATATGATTTAAAGAATATTAAGAATTGGAACTTTATTCCTATAAGATAAAAGTTATTAATGATGGCAAAGAAAAAAATAATTATTTTTAGATTTATTAAAAAAATTATCATGTTTGTTAATATTTTTTTAAGAAATAAAGTAAAAAATTGTGTATTATTAAATAAATAGTATAATTCAACTTAACAATACAATTATTTTTTGATATTATAATATTATTATTATTATTATTATTATTATTTTTTAAAAATTAGAGTTCAATATTTTAAAACTTTAATAGCTAATTATAAGTCTAATTGATCATTATTTTATGTATATGTTATAAAATGCAACAATATGTTTTATACACATCTTTCAAAAGGTTTTTTTAAATTTTTTTTTAATAATATTTTAAAAATAATGTATATATATTATTTTAACTAAAAAATTTCAAAAAGTAAAAATATTTGATGCTATATATAATATAGCATTGTTCCTACCTCCAATAAAATCACCAAATATTAGAAGTATCTTCAAAGATTGTGTTACCAAACATGTTGTATCCCGCTATTTATTAGAAGAAGAACAAATAATTTTTAAAGGTCTTCACCTCTATTATGATGTCTTTAAGGCTATAACAATCATAATATTTGATCCAATAAATTAATAAACGATAGCTCTTGAGTTGAATTGTTTGTTATTAGTTTTCCATCATGTTAGTACTACTAATACAAAGAAATCACAATGAAGGGTAGAAGATAAAATACGATCGTCATTAAAAATCCTTTCTTTTAGAGCAAAGATTTGCTTGATCTTTCATCTTGGTTTTGATGGATGTTATTGATAGAAAGCTTTGACCTTTCTATTGTATTTACAAGACTTTTTGGTGGCTCTCATGTGCATTCACTAATATTGTATTCATACCAATAAAAAAGATATTCTAAGCTAAGTCGGCACTGCCTTGAGTTTAAGACTTCTTCCACTTCAAATTCTTGATAATTACCTATTTTTATAAGAGGCAATGTCATGTTATGTTTGTTCTTGTTTGAGAATGCATTAGGCACCTAGTTGTAGAAGGTAAGTAGAAATGCAACAAATCCTACTAAGTCTAATAGAATCTTGATTTAAATTTAAATAAATCTTAATAATTCTAATAAAATCTTGACCAATCTAAAATATATTAAAAAAGAGTTATAAAAGGAACAAAAAGTAGTTCTAAACTAATTTCAAAGAAAAATAATAAGAAACCTTAAAGAAATATAAAAAAACCTTTAAAAAAAATTAAAAGAAATATTAGAAATAAAATTTAAAAAAAAATCTAAATAAATTCTAAAAATAAAAATAAAAAATAAATCCCAATAAAATCTTAATTTAATCCTAACTAAAATTTTAATGAATCTTAACCAAATTATAGGTTAAATTCTAATTAAAATTCTAATTAAATTTTAACCTAATCCTAGATCAAATCTTAATAAAATTTCAATCAAACCTAAATCTTAAAAAAATCCTAAACCAAATCTTAAGCAAAACTTAAGAAAATCTTAATCAAACTCTAAATCTTAAACAAAGTCTTAACAAATCCTATAGCAATTTTAAACTTCAATAACTAATCATCAAATCATTGATATTAATTCAAATTTTATATATTTCTTTATAACTTAGTTAGAAACAAACATAAGATAGATAAAATTGATCATATTTATCAATTGAAAGAAATTTGAGATAATCCAATCAAATGTTCGACAGCTTGTCAGGGATAAGAATACGATAAAGACAAATAAATGAGTGAGACCTCTCTCAAAGAAAGATGAAAAAATAGAAATGACTTGATATATATATTAAGAAAGAAATTATAATGGCTATTGCCAAAAAGCCAAAAAAACTAGAGATCCTTGAAACTAGATTGGAAGCAAGAAAAGAGTTGTCAAGAGTGAAGAAGGCTTCATTCTTGTCTCTATATATACTATCTAATTAGGGGCTACGTAGAGACATTCTATAGGACCTCCAATATGTGTTGACTTTGTAGGACACATGCCTTGACTTATAAGGCAAGTTTTTCTATGTGTGGGCTATATAGTTAGCTTAGACTTCAAGCTAACAATATGTGTGGCATATGGCCAATTTGTTGACCACGATTTTAATCCAAAAAGTCAATTAAAGATACCTATAAAGTCAAAGTAAAGTCTATGAAGCTTCTAAGAAGCTACTATACCAAATACTATAGAATTAATTTATTTTTATCTACTTTTACTTACTTCTACCTGTTTATATATGTAATAACTGGCTTACATGAGTATGTTCGTGATATTACCTCCTCCCTCCCTTTTAGGGATGAGTTCCACGAGGAACGGTCATCATATGTTAAAGAAATCTATGATGTGACAAATTATATTCGCTACATACTCTGATCTTTGTTCTCGTGAAAGATGATTGATAGGGCCTCTCAACTATCAGTAGTATCCCATACCAGGGTGAAAAGACCACCCAGTTATTTGATCATCGTTGAGGCCTTCATAACTTCTTTTGAATAAAAAATTTGGAATACCATAAGGAGTTGTTCCTATCTCTAGTAAAATCACCAAACATCAAGAGTCCCTTCCAAAGTCGTGATACCAAATGTGTTGTATTTTGCCATCTATTCGAGAAAGAACATGTCGTTCTTGAAGATCTTCATCTCGATTGCATCGTCTTGAAGGTTGTGACAATCATAATATCTCGTCCGACAAGTCAGTAAATGAAGGCTCTTGAGTCGAATTTGTTGATTGTTGGTTCTCCATCTCATGAGCACCACATCTACAAAGAAGCTACAAACAAGGATTGAAAGTAAAATGTTATCTTCCCTAGATTTTGTTTCTTTTAT